GTGTTCGATTCCTAGCACCCACATGGCAGCTAACAATTGTCCATAACTCCAGTTCCAGGGGATCCAGTGCTCTCTTCTGGCCTCCGCAGGCTTTGCACAACACAGGTGCACTTACATACATAAAATATTTTTAAAATAAAAATATTTTAAAAAAAATTTTGGCTGGATGTGATGGCACATGCCTTAATTCCAGCACTCGGGAGGCAGAGGCAGGAGGATCTCTGTGAGATCAAGACCAACCTGGTCTACGTAGTGCTTTCCAGGCCTGAGAAGACACTTTCTCAAAAAGACAAAAAAAATTTTTTTTAAAATAGTATTACATCAATGTTAAATTTTCCAGTTCTGATCATTGTAGTATGTTTAAGCTGGCCTAAAATAATATTTACAACAGTATATCATGTCTGTTCTCTAGTTTGCTTTCCATTGCTGTGATAAAACACTGACAAAACCAAGTTGAGGAAAAAGTATTCATTTGGTTTGCAGATTACAGGTTTACAGATTATAGTCCATCATCGAGGGCAGTCAAGGCGGGAACCTAGTGGCAAGAACCCAAACAGAGACCATGGAGGAAAGCTGCTTACTGGCTTGCTTTCCTGGCTTGCTCAACTCCCTTTTAGACAGCAGCACAGACCCACCTGCCCTGGGATGGTACTGCCCACAGTGGGTTGGGCTACATCAATTAGCATTCAAGAAAATGCCCCACAGACATGACCTCAGAGAGCCGATAGAGAGAGTTCCTTAACTGAGGATCCCTCTTCCCAGTGTTATATACAGGAGAGAGAATTACAGACCAATTATGACCTCAGTCTATAAGGTGGAAAACAATCTGACACCAGCCTCTGGGCTCCTTCTGATCCTTGAAGTGTGCTTAAGCTGGCCTAAGATAATATTTACAACAGACACACAAACATATGCTCTATACACATGCAAGCATACACACACACACACACACACACACACACACACATGTGCATATGCATCACATGCATGTAAGGAAAGCTGCTTACTGGCTTGCTTTCCTTATGCATCACATGCATAAGCCAATTAAAAAGGAAAGGAGTCTTTTATTACTTAGCATGTGACTGAGAGTAGCTAGCACATCCAAAAAAAAAAAAAAAATCTTCAGTGCTGAAGCTCAGGGGTACAGAGTTTATAAAAGCAAAACCCACAAAAACCAAAAATACAGTTGAGCCAGGTGTAGGTCAGAGAGACCTAGCAATTATTTTGCTTATACATTGATTTGATTACACATCCTGGAGTTATTTTGGTTATATTTCTAGGCCATAGTCAGGGTCATAGGAAGCCCTGAATGTGTTGCTGGGGAGACTAGTGATTGCAAAAAATGCCTGGGCATGCACAAAATGGAGTCAGGGTCAGTCCACGACAAAATGGAGTCAGGGTCAGTCCACGACAAAATGGAGTCAGGGTCAGTCCACGACAAAATGGAGTTTCTTTAGCTACTTCATCCAGGTCATTCTAGTTTGTGTCAAGTTGACAAAAAACTAACAAACACAATGACTGTATCTTCCAATTCTGTATTCATGTTAATCTTCAGTTTTAGTTTCTCTCTCTCTCTCTCTCTCTCTCTCTCTCTCTGTAAAGTACAAATGTGGCAAAACTGATGTGGATGCATGAAGGATATATGATAATTCTTTGTATTCTACTTGAAACTTTTATTTTAAAAAGTTATGCAAGGGGCTAGAAGGGTGGTTTTAAGTGGCTGCTCTTCCAGAGGACCTTGGTTTGGTTCCCAGCACCAACACGCAGCTAACAACTATCTGTAATTCCAGTTCTAGGGATCTGATGCCCTTTTCTGACCTCTGCAGGCATTGCATGACATGGGTGCACTTACACACATGCAGGCAATACACTCATATACACAAAATGATAATAAAAAAATTTTAAGACACCCAAATAAGAGAAATGCACACCAAAACTAAAAACGAGGTATCACTTCAAACCTACTAGGCTGTTACTATAAAAAGTCAAAATCGCTGGGCGTGGTGGCACATGCCTTTAATACCAGCACTCAGGAGGTAGAGGCAGAAGGATCTTTGTGAGTTCAAGGCCATCCTGGTCTACATAATGAGTTCCAGGACAGCTGGGGCTACAGGAAGACTCTGTCTCAAAAAAAAAAAAAAAGCCAAAACCAAGTGTAGTGGCTATACCTATAATGCCAACATTCAGGAGGCTTACAGCAACTCTGAGGCCAGTAGGAGCTACATCAAGTGTTCCAGGACAGCCTGGGCTAAGTGTGAAGTCCTATCTAAAAATACCAACCAAACAAAAAACTCAAAACAGAAAATATAGAAAATAGCAACTATTAGTGAGGATGTAGAGAAATTTGTACTTGTGGTCTATCTAAGGGAATGTAAAATGTTATAGCCTTATGGGAAACAGGTTGAAGTTTCCTCAAAACGTTAAACTAGTATTACCAATCTCCTTTCTTGGTATATATTCAAATGAATGCAAAGTAGAATCTCATTCATTTGCACACCGAGTTCATTGGAGCATTATTCACAATAACCAAGGGATGGAATCAACTTTAAAACTGTGGACTTATTGACAAATAAATGGATAAAGGAAATCAAGTGTATGTATACATAGATTATTGTGTAGCCTTAAAAACCATGCAACATACTACAGTACAGTAAACCTCAAGGACGCAATGCTAAATGAAATAAGCCAGTCATAAGCCAGGCCAAATGCTGTATGATTCCAGTCATTTAAAGGAGTCAAACACAGAAACAAAGTAGAAAGTGATTGCCAAGGTCTGAGAGGAGGGGAAAGAATACTATTTAATGGATAAAGGGTTTCAGTTTTTCCAAATAAAAAGTCCTAGAGATATTTTGTATAACAGTGTGAACATATTTAACATTACTGATTATACACTTATAATGGTATATTTAATGCTGTGGATTTTACTACAGTAAAAAGTTACCCAGGTAATTGTGATGATCACTGAATTTTGGAAAGTATCAAAAGCAGATTAAGTGTATAAGGAAATTCTTGCCCTCCTCCTCCTCTTCCTCTTCCTCCTCCTCCTTCACTATCTTTCCTAGCCTACTGACTTCAGTATTGTATAAAATACTAAAGCATGTGAATAAAGACAGGATACAGAATTTCTACATCTTCCTTACTCTGGATTGTCATCTACAGATTGAAAAACTGAAACAACAGTTGGCTGAAACAAAGGAAAAAGCCAAAGAGGAAAGGGAAAAATTGGTGAGTATCTGCATATACTAGTATTTCACCTTTTAGGGAGTCAAGTTTTAATGTATTCAGATACTTTAGACCCAATAAGAACAAATGAAAAGGGGGCCCAGGAACATAGCTCAACGGAGAAGTGAGTGTTTGCCCAGCATACACAAGGCCCTAGGTTTTATCCCTAGACTCTTAACAAAAACAAAACAAGGGGCTTGGGAGGTGGCTCAGCAGTTAAGAGCACTGGCTGCTCTTGTAGACGATCTGGGTTCAGGTCTCAGTACCCACATAGCACCTAATGCTCTTCTGGCCTCTGCAGGCATTTCATGCTTGGGTGCACTTACATGCACCAGGCAAAATACTTACAACATGAATTTTTTTTAAAAACTGATAAAATTCTCAAACCAGTTTAACAACCTTAAAGTCTATATACTTGGTTATTCAGAAGCTCAAAAATAGCTTGTTATACAGCATTATTGTGGACACCTGCTACTTAGGAGGCCAAAGCAGGAGTCTCACCTGAGCTTAGGAGTTTAACTTCTCAAGGCCAGTGACCAGTGGTCTGGATAACATAAGCAAGGCCTTGTCTTAAAAAAAAAAGACGACGATAATGAGCTCAAAACATTTAGAAGAAGGCTGTTGAGATGGCTTAGTGGTTAAGACTGTTTGTTGCTTTTCCAAATAACCAGAGTTCAGTTCCCAACATCCATGTCTGGTGGCTCACAATTGCTTATAACTACAGATCCAAGGGATCTAATGCTCTCTTCTGGCCTCTGTGGACACCCCGCCCCCTTCCACACTCAATAGTATACACACATAGTAGGCCTGGGGTGGTGCAAAAAAAAAAACCCCAAAACCACCTCATAGTAACATTTTTAGTTCATATTCAGGAACATAGGGCTGGTGTGTGTGTGTGTGTGTGTGTGTGTGTGTGTGTGTGTGTGTGTGTGTGTGTGTATGCTGAAGCAAAACCCAGGGGCTTCTGTATGCTAGCTGGTGTTCTACCCAAAGTTATGTATCCAGACCCAGAATATAGGATTTTTATTTAACCTTATCTTTATGTATGATATACCTTTCTCCCTTGCTAAGAGTCTTGGTTCTAAATGATTTAATTATAATTACCACATTACTTAAACCTTAATACCTGGGGGCTGGAGTGATGGCTCAGTGGTTAAGAGCACAGGCTGCTCTTGCAGAGGACCTGGTTCAATTCCCAGTACCCACATGGTGGTTAACAACCATCTGTAACTCCAGTTCCAGAGGATTCAACACCCTCTTCTGACTTCCACGGACATTGCATGACATGTATAATGAATAATGTCATAACATAAAAAAATAAATAAAATATTCTAAAAAACCTTAATATCTTAACAATTTCCAGACTATTAATACCACCACCAATAGAAGACTAGAGAGAGTTTAAGATTTTCAGTGAGGAGGTGTCATTTTTCCTTATAAGATGTATATCAATAAGACTCTTTCATCAAAACTGCAAAAGTAGGAACTGGAGAGATGACTCAGAGGTTAAGAGCACTGGCAGCTCTTCCAGAGGACCTAGATTCAGTTCCCAGAACCCATATGGTGGCTAACAACTATTTGTAACTCCAGTTCTAGGGGATCCAATGCCCTCTCCTGGCCTCCCTGGACATCGCATATATGTGGTGCAAGACACACACAAAAATAGTAATTAAAAAAATTTAAACCTACGTCTTCCCCACCCCGCTGCAGTGCTGAGTACTGAACCCGGAATCTTGGGCATGCTACATCCTGAGTTCAACACAACAATTTAAAAACTAAATGAAATTTGGACATGGTGGCTCATTCCCATAATTCCAGCACTCAGGAGGCTGAAGCAGGAGAATTGCTAGGAGTTCAGGGTCAGGCTGGGCTACATAGTGAGCTACCAGGGCAGACTTGGCTGTATAGGGAGACCCCTGTCTCAAGAAACAAAAGAAAACAATAAACTACATGAAATCCCTTTCTGTAAGGTCGTGGCACCAACTCAATAACACATTTTACTTTTGAGTTTTACAGGTGTCTTTTAATACTGGGGATTGCACCCAGAGTTTTCACATTCTACCCACTAGTTACATGGACAGAATTTTTCCCAGAATTTGTTTCTTACTCAAGGGAGTTGGCATCATTTGCTAGAAGTTAAAACTTTATGCAAAAAAAAAAAAGCTGGATGTAATAGCACACGCCTTTAATCCTAGCACTGGGGAGGCAGAGGCAGGCAGATCTCTGTGAGTTCAAGGCCAGCCTGGTCTACAAAGTGAGTTCCAGGCCAGCTAAAGGCTACAGGGAGACCCTGACTGAAAAAGACCAAAAAAAAAACCAAAAAACTTTATGCAAAAATTAAGACTTTATTCCAAAAAAATGGGCATTTCTTTAAAGAAAATAAATAGCTCAAGACTTCAGGTGGAACATGGCTCTGTAAACACTTCTCTTTTTCCTAACTCATTTACCTCTTTTTTGAATACAGGAACAAAAGTATACTGTGCAAATACGTGAATTGGAGGGACAGTTTAATCAAAAAGCCAAAGAAATTGGCACGATTCAGACAGAGCTAAGAACAATAAAACAATTCCAGAAAAGAAAAATCCAAGTGGAGAAAGAATTAGAAGATGTAAGTTTCTATTTTTTCTTCTTTAGTTTTTAACGAGCTTGGAACTAACAATTTTATACCTGCAAAAGTCTTCACATTTATTCTGTGAGACATTTTAGAGATGATTTGAGAGGAAAAAGAGGAAACAATGTCTTCACTGTTACATTGTTATTTTTGACATTTAATCATTAATTTGTGCGTATGTGTGTGTGTGTTGCATGTGTGTGACATATTTGTGTGGGTGTGCAAGTGGGTGTCAGAGGACAACCTGCAGGAGTCTGCTCTCTCTTTTCTACCTCATGTGTTCTGATGATCTAACTCAAGTCATCAGGCATGCTGGCAAGTGCCTTTACTTGCTGCTGTTGGGCTATCTTGCTGGCCGTGGCCTGACACTATTCTTTTTCTTTTCTTTTTTACCTTTTTAATTAGGGTCTCTCTGTAGCCTCAGCTTTCCTGGAACTTACTATGTAGACCAGGCTGGTAGACCATTTTTTTCACATAAAATGTAAAAAAAAACAGGACCTGTAGATATGGGTCAGCAGTTAAGAGCACTGGCTGCTTTTGCAGAGGACCCTGATTTCATTCCCAGCACCCACATGGCAGCTAAGAACCATCCATAACTTCAGTTCTAGGGGAATCCGATGCCCTCTTCTGACCTCTGTGGTCATTGCATGACACAGGTGCACTTACACACATGCAAGCAATACACTGATACACAAAATAAAAATAATTTTAAAAACTTTTTAAAAGAATGTTATTTTTTATTTTATGTGTATGTGTATATTGCCTGCATGTAGGTAAGGGCACCTGTGTCATGCAATGCCTGCAGAGGTCAAAAGAGAGGCTATCGGATCCCCTGGAACTGGAGTTACAGACAGTTGTTAGCTGCCATGTGGGTGCTGGGATTTGAACCCGGGCCTTCTGCAAGAACTACCAGAGATGTTCTTAACTGCTGAGCCATCTCTCCAACCCCAATAATATTTTTTTTAATGTAAAAAAAACCTATAGCAACAGAAAATGAAGAACTAAAGATTTTAAAAAATGGTTTCTGGGGCTGGGAATACAGGTCAGTAGCACAGTGCTTGTCTTGCATACATGAGGCCCTCAATTGCATCTCTGGCAAGTGCTGGAGTGGTGTGTACCACCATGCCCAGCTCTCTTTTTTAGATAAAAAAATTAATTTTATATATATATATATATGAGTGTTTTTCCTGCATGTGTATAAGTTTACAAAGAGAACAATGCTTAGAAAAAGAATAGTGCTGGGCATGGTGGTACACACCTTTTATCCCAGTACTAGGGAGGCAGAGGCAGGCAGATATCTGTGAGTTCAAGGCCAGCCTGGACTACATAGTGAGCTCCAGGCCAGCTGGGCTACAGAGAAACCCTGTTTCAAAAAGACCAAAAAAAGTTTTTCTGTATTTTTACTAATAAACTTAAAAGATATATACTCATATGGTCAGATTTTATTTAGCAATTGAATTTGATGTGTTCACTTTCAATCCTTAATAATTTATATTCATATTTGAGAGTGTTTAGCTTTCTCATGGAGAAAAAGAAACCCAGGAAGAAGCCTTTAACACAGGTTTTTAAATGATACTTGGGCAATTGCTATTAAGTGGAAAGAGTGATATCAATTAAAGTGATTGTAATGTGGCTAGTCTTATATCTTTGACCTACCTTTCAATCCATTTTGAGATTTGATTTCTATTCTCCTCTAGCTTTTCTGATTCATTGCTGGGTAGTTGATGCACAATTTCTTCTATTGTCCTCTAGCGTTCTGGTTCATTGCTGGGCAGTTGACGCACAGTTTCTTCTTCTATGAAGAAGGTACTATGGCTTCATAAAGAATCTCACACTGAATGGTCTTTTAGTATCTTCTCATTATAACCCCTTGTTTCAAGTCTTTTGTACAGTATACTATTTATCTGTTCTTAATATGAAAACTATATGAAACCAACTTTCAGGAAAGAAATCACAACCATAATTACACTACCTTCTCTAACACCTCAACAACGCTTTTTAAAATTTTTTATTTTTGCATGCGGAATCGGCATAAAGAGATTTTGGAAGCATAATTTTTTGGTATCTGCACAGCTGGTGATCGTTGGTCCCGAAAAAAAAATTTTATTTTTATTTTCTGTGTATGAGTATTTTATCTGTATGTAATAAAAATGTACCTTCATGCAATGCTTACAGAGGCCAGAAGAGGGCAACAGATCCTCTGATACTGGAGTTGCAGATTGTTAGCCACCATATGGTTGCTGAGATCCCAACCTGGGCCCTCTTCAAGAGCAGCCATTGCTATTAACTGCAGAGACATTTCTCCAGCCCCAACAACTCTATCTAAAATAATCGTATTCTTCACATAGCCATCACATAACTCCTCTTTGCTAGCTACATCACCCACATTACTGTGTTTCAGTCCTCACTTGATACCATTTCTTGGCCTAGTGTGGTTTTCCCAACCAGTGGTGTAGCAGTGAGCAGGATGTTCAGAAGCCCAGAAGTGCTCTTTTTTTTTTTTTTTTTTTTTTTATGACTGAGACTTGCAAGTCATACAGCATCACTTCTGCCATAGTCTGTTATTTGGAAGTGAGTCCCTAAATCAGCCCTACCTTCTAGAGGGTGGGAATTAGGGTCCATAATTTTAAGAAAAGCTCATCAAAGAATTGTAAATATGTGTGTGTATGTGTGTGTGTGTGTGTGTTTGAGTGTATTGGCTGCATGTGTGTAAGTGCACCCATGTTGTACAATGCCCGAGGAATCAGAAGAGTGCATTGGATTCCCCTGGAGCTGGAGTTACGAACGGTTGTTAGCCACGTGTGGATGCTGGGAATTGAACCCCAGTCCTCTGCAAGAGCTGGTGCTCTTAACTGCTGAGGGATCTCTCCAGCCCCATTTAGATAAATTTTTAAACCACATATTATTGCAGGCTTAGCATACGTAGCAGGAATCTTTATTTTGGTTTCTTGAAACAATGTCTTGCTATGTAATTCTGGCTGGCCTGGAACTTGATATATAACTCAGGGTAACCTCAACTAGAAATAATCCTCTTGCCTCAGCCTTCTGAGTGCTGGGATTACATGCATGAGCCACTACAACCAACTTAATTTTATTTTGTTTGAGATAGAGTCTCATGTAGCCCAGGATGGCCCTGAACTCCTGATCCTTTGCCTTTACTTTCCAGTTTGCTGGGATTACAGGAGTACCTCAGGAATCTGCCCCCCCTTTTTTTTCTGGTCTCCTGTAGCCACAGCTGACCTGGATTGTTATGGAGACCAGATGGCCTCAAACTCAGAGATACTTCTGTCTCTGCCTCTCAAGTGCTGTGATTAAAGGTATGTGCCACCACGCCTGGAAGGTTTTTAAACAATATATATATACATATGTATATGTATATATATTCTTTATTTTCTGAGAATTTTGTTTTTCATCATTGTACCCTCTCACTTCCCCCTGCAACTCCTCCCAGCTGCCAAACTCCCTCTCAGTTTCTCATCTTCTTCTTGTCACACACACATATAATATGTATATATAATGTACTGAGTCTGTTTAGTGGTGCTCCTGTGTAGATAACGTGTCAGGGAGCTCATTCCTGGAGAAAACTGATTGTCCCTCCTTCAGCATTCAGCAATTACATGTAGCTTTTCATCTAGTGGTAGGACCCTGTGAAATTTCCCCCATCTACATTGTCATTATGTAGGTCTTACTCAGGAATCTTGAAAAAATCAGTTCTGTTGATGTTCTGATCTCCTCCCTCAAGAATCTTCTGTAATATTTCTTAAGTGCAAACAGCAAATTGTCTAGACACCTTAGTATGAAAGTTAGGACTATACACTTATGTAGGGACATTATAATCTTGCTTTGTAACACCCTTTCTAACCACTCACCACCCCCACCCTGCCAATCCTCCCCATCTTCCACCTCCCCACCTTGGTCTTTTTGAGACCTGTAGTTCCCCCTGATGCTATGTAGACCAGGCTTGGCCTCCATCTCAGAGGTCTGCCCGCCTCTGCCTCCTGAGTGCTGGGATTAAAGGTGTGCACCACCATGCCCGGCACACACTCTCTTTTTATCCTTTTAATTCATCCAAACTGGAAATTCACATAACTTTAAAACCTCGCTCGTCTTTATTTTCTGTTTTAGATCTTGAACCCAGAGCTTTGGGATTGCTGGGCACTCTTTCTCTGAACTACATTCTCAAATTCTGTCTTTCTTACTTTGTTTATAGTATTTCTTTAATTAAAAACAAATTCTCGATAGATATCGATCTATTAAAATCTTAATCTAGCCTTCAGAGGCTGTCTAAAAAGCAGCTCTCCTTGAGACCTTCCCCCAGGGTCTCGTGTTAAGAATTTCTTGTACCTTGCTGGTGCAGTGGCACACACCTTTACTCCCAGCACTGGGGACGCAGAGGCCGGAGGATCTCTATGAGTTCAAGGCCAGCCTGGTCTACGTAGTGAGTTCCAGGCCAACTGGGGCTACAGGGGAGGCCTTGTCTCAAAAAGACCAAAAAATAAAATTTCTTGTACCTTTCCGTGGCATTTTGTACCCAACCCATCGTGCTATTATATTTATATTAGCTCCCCTATTAGATTTTAAATTCTTTAAGAATTTTGTATTCACCGAGATACAAGCTACACAGCAAAGCTAAATTAATCTTAGGTGAAAGACCTAGTGGACCATTTCATTAAACACGGAAGGGAAAGCTAGCGCATGCCCACTAACGCTCTCAGCCCCAAGCAGCGAATGGAACTCAGCGCAGCAGTGACGTAGTTGCGCAGGACAGCAGTGACGTAGCAGCCTACTCAGTCCAGCACGCCGTAGCTCAGGACTCCAGGATGGCAGAGCGAGTTTCTCCAGGAAAGTCAGCGGACCAGGTGTGTACCTTCCTCTTCAAAAAGCCCGGGCGGAAAGGGAATGCGAGTCGCCGGAAGCGCCCTGCGTGCGACCCTGACTCGGGAGAAAGCGGAAGCAGTAGCGACGAAGCCAGTTCGGTGGTGCGACCCGAGAAGAGGCGGGCGACCCACAACCCTATGATCCAGAAGACTCGCGGCAGCGGTAAACAGAAGGCGGTCTACTGCGACTTGAGCAGCGACGAGGAGAAGGAGGAGAATGAGAGTCTGGGCGTGGTCTACAAGTCCACCCGCTCGGCGAAACCCGTGGGCCCCGAGGATATGGGGGCGACAGCGGTCTACGAGCTGGACACCGAGAAGGAGCGAGACGCACAGGCCATCTTTGAGCGCAGCCAGAAAATCCAGGAGGAGCTGAGAGGCAAGGAGGATGACAAGATCTATCGGGGAATCAATAATTATCAGAAATACATGAAGCCCAAGGATACATCCATGGGCAATGCCTCTTCCGGGATGGTGAGGAAGGGCCCCATCCGAGCTCCCGAGCATCTGCGAGCCACTGTGCGCTGGGATTACCAGCCAGACATCTGTAAGGACTATAAGGAGACTGGATTCTGTGGTTTCGGAGACAGTTGTAAATTCCTCCACGACCGTTCAGATTACAAGCACGGATGGCAGATAGAACGTGAGCTTGATGAGGGCCGCTATGGTGTCTATGAGGACGAAAACTACGAGGTGGAAAGTGATGATGAGGAAATACCATTCAAGTGTTTCATCTGTCGCCAAACCTTCCAAAATCCGGTTGTCACCAAGTGTAAGCATTATTTCTGTGAGAGCTGTGCCCTGCAGCATTTCCGCACCACTCCACGCTGCTATGTCTGTGACCAGCAGACCAATGGAGTCTTCAATCCTGCAAAAGAATTGATTGCTAAACTGGAGAAGTACCGAGCACCAGAAGGTGGTACTTCCAACACCCCAGAAGACCCCGATGGGGTCTAATTGCCATTACTTAGTTTTTCTATAATTGCTAAATCTCAAAGTACTTTTTGTTTTGGGCACCTTCACAAACCAAAAGAAAAACAACCATAATCTAAAGAATATGTTTTCTAGGAAGAATATCCCGGTTTGTTTTATATGAAAATGCTGCAAATTGAATCAATACAGTTAATGTTTCTGGAACTCTAAGTATCCTATGTATAAGTATACATTCGTAATAAAAATAAATTAAGAACTAGTTTGTATTCTAGTGCCATGATGTGGTTTTTCTTTCTTTTTTTGTATTTTTGAGACAGGGTCTCCTTGTAGCCCCACCTGGCCTAATACTCGCTATGTAGACCAGGCTATCCTCCTCAAACTCACAGAGATCTGCCACCTCTGCCTCCCCAGTGATTTTTCTTTTTAAAAAAAATAATATTGCCACCTGTTGGAAAAGCAGATTTCAGACCTTTCAAAAGAAGGCTCTTGGGGAACACTTAAAATTCAAGGGCAAAAGTTACCCTGTTACTGGAAAGATAAAGTGGTTCTGTGGAATCCTAAAAGTACAAGAAATGCGGCAGATCTGAGGGACCTGTGTACTTAAATTTTCAAAGTTTACTTTAGGTAGGAAATTTTTGCATGTATAGAATTCATTTTGCAACTTAATCTAATTAAATTTAGATTATGAAGATGTAATCAAGGCATACATTTTAAAGAAGAAAAGAAAGCCAGATTTGGTGTGTGTTTGCTATGGATGTGGATGTGTCCCCCATGGTACACTTGTGGAGGCCAGAGGACAACTTTATGGAGTCATTTCTCAACATCACATTAATGTGGGTTCCAGAGATCAAATTCAAGTTGCCAGGCTTGCACTGCAAATGCCTTTTTACCGTTTTACTTGATGAGCCATCTCAATTGCCCCTCGATTTTTGAACCCATTGTGCTTCTATGTCAGACTGGCCTCTAATTTATGATGTAGCCCAGGCTGGTCTTGAGATTTGGATTTATTTGCCTCAGGCTCCCAAGTGCTGAAATTAACAAATATGAGCCACCATGCCCAGACACAAATTATCTTTAATTCTTTTACATTTATTTATGTGTATAGATGTGTATCTTGGCATGTACAAATTGGAGTGAGGTGTGTCTTATGTGTGAGTTTTGAGTATCAAAGTCAAGTTACCAGGCTTGGAGGCAAACACCTTTACTCACTGAGCCATCTTGCCAGCCCCCTTAATTATCTTTT